GATATATATGTTTTATACAGAGAAATCAATTTGAAATTTATGTAGTAACTCATATCAAGTAAAATTAATTTGAGAATATTTTTAAAATAAAAAAACTTATATTATAATTAATTTTTTCAAGTTTTTATATTTTAAAATTACTTAACTATGATTTCATTATTAATTTCTTTAAAGATATTATTTTTAAATATATACATTGAATCTTTTATTTATTTATTTCTAAATTTTGTAGAGATTACTGAAATTACTGGCAACAATTCTTTGTTAATTTGTTATTTTACACAAGTAGGTTAAATATAAATATAAATATAAATATTTTTTTTATTTTATCCCTAATTTTTTTAGTAGTTTAGTACTTTAATTGTAATCACTAGTATGTTAATCACCATTATTTTTTATATAGAATTCATAACAAAATACATATTATTTCATCAAAACTCATTTAAATTCATATTCATATACATATAATATTATATATAAACATATTAATTTAACAGACCCATACATTATCATATTATTAAGTAACAAAACTAAAATTAAACAATGAAATAAATAGAAAAAATGAATGAAACTCACCTAAAACATTAAGTATAAAGCATAAAAAGTTACTTATTTAATCAATTAATAGTTTAAACTATAGAAGAAAAAGATGTAGAAACAATAATTCAAAAAAAAAACTTATTAAATTATTATATTAAAATTTTAATATAAAATATATTTTAAAAAAAGAACAATTACCCCCTTAATTCTCATTGTGGCTCTGGCAGCAAACTAATTAATTCTCATTGTGGCTCTGGCAGCAAACACAATCTTGGAGTAGCCTTTTCATCTAAGTTTAAGAATGAAAACATCGCTTGGTCAATATCATGTCATTGATTGGATCTTTAGTTTTTAGCTATTTTGTCACCTAGACAAGGTTACACGCAACAAAATATAAGAAAATATCAAAAAAGATAATTTGATGTGATAGGTAACCTATTGATTTAATAAAAAAATGTTGATTTTTTAATATAATTTTTTAAAACAATATAATTTTAGTTTATTTAAAAATATATATACATAAATTAACTTATATCCCAAATATACACTAAATATTGAGGTTAATAACAATGGTAGAGAGCTAGGCCGGTGCGTAATGTGTGCTTTAGCAGCTTGTGGTTATGGTGTGATTAAGCGCTACCATGATCAGTTCGAAATTGCTGTTTTAGTTTAGTGTACACATTGCGGCTTAACTCAGTTGGAAGCAAGCTAGTCATTTCTCTGAGTTGTTGCTATCATGTGGAGGTCAAAGCATGAAAAGACAATTTTTCCTACGGCTAGAGTTGACTTCATCTTCTTCTGTTTTTTTCCCAGTAAACCAACAGTCAACAACTACGTTTAAAAGCCTAAAATGTATTATGATTTTTACAATTTTAATTAGCAGCAAAAATACTAAAATGAACCACCGACTACTTTCCTTCGAACCACTCCATCCTCGAAAAAACTAGGTACATCAGTGAGTGCTATATGACTTTTTGTTTCCAAAGATTTACTCCATTATCTGCATTATACTCTGAAGATTCTTGACAATGATTGTGAAGTGGGAAAAAAAATAGTGGGACAATGGGTAAAAAGAAAAGTCTGCACGCTCACTCTCTCGATCTTTATGGCCATAAACTAAACCCTCGTCGAGGCATGTTCCACATGGATTATATTATTTTTTGTTGCTGCTAGCAATCGAGTTCCAAGCGCCTGAAAAATAAAACGGTACCAGAAAAACGCAAGGTCAAAAGTGATGACCGTATTCTCGTTCTTGCTTTGCTCTTTTCAATAGGACGCGGGCCGTTTCTTCAGGTCCGTGCGCTCTACTACTTACCGGCCAAACAGCTGACCGGTACTGCTGTGGACAGGCTAAAAGTCAAACACTATCCCTGAGATTTTTGTACTTGGCTCAAACCTCTCCAAATCAAAGGTAACTTTAGTCACTTCATCTGATTTTGCTCATTCGTTACGATGCAATTCAATATAGGGCTCTGAAAGTGCCTTTAATCAGAAGCAAGGGGTGGATTTGACCCAATTTAAATACTTGCGCCTGTCTTTGGAAAGTGGATCGGCAACATTAACACACTTTGTATTTTGTTTTTCGGAGAAGAATATCGTCGTGTCAGATTTTTCGTGTGAAAATGATGTATGATGTACCTTTATTCGTCATCACATGGAGTCAATGGTTACTTTTGTTATATTTCATAATTTTTTTGATGTAGATATTGACAGTGGCCCCAAAAAAAAAAAGAAAAAAAAGAGGATAGATTGTCGTTGGTCACTACAGCCTATCGTTTTGGGCCTCATCTATCCTCCAGGCCACCCTCAACAAATCGTATTTGGGACCACATCCCAATCCCACGCAAATTTTCGGGGAGCTCATGCTGGTATACAGAACGATGTCGTAATACAACCATGTTAGTGCATGCCACCCCATTGCTCATTTTAGAAAATATCACAGTTCATAAAGTTTTATCTCACTTTATTCGTTTTCATAACATTAATTTAGAGAAATATTCTACTAGATTTCTTTTCTATTATACTCTAAGCAAGCAAATCTTATTATTGATTGATCTCCGTAGTCGGTTATTATTTTCAATGACCAAGAAAATAGTTTCCAGCGATAAGCAAACTTCCTGTCATGATTTCTTCTCCGAGGCCGCGGTTTTGCTACCATGCTTTTTTGTTAGGTGAACTACCCTTATCGCCAAGCAAGCCAGGTCGCATAAATGTCCTAGGACCACTCATACAATCGACATTTAAGAAAAGGCATACACCACTCTTGCTCTAAATTTATTTTTTCTTGATTTGTTATTCACTTTGATTATGTTAATTTAAATATGGAAGAGTCTTCTAAAAAAAAAAGGTTAGAGAAACTAATCTTGATTTATCCACAAAAACCAATACCTTGTTTCCTATTTATTTTTGTGTTTTAAAAATATTTTTGAAAAAAATTATATTTTTTTATTTTTTTCTTTGCTGAAATTAATAAATTTTGATATTTTCAGATTATTTTGATATATTAATATTAAAAATTATTTTTTAAAAATAAAACAATTTTGTTTTAATATATTTATAAATAAAAAATATTTCAAAAATTAATTATAACCACACTCATTTTCGAGGAAAAACAATTTCTTCATAGGCTTAGGCCAGCAATTAGCTAGCTTATGGATAAATATTTAGTAATATTTGATAGTTAGCGGGTTGAAAAGTCGTAGTAGAAACCAAATTATAACATAGGATTTTGAGCTTGAAATCTATAGATTTTTTGTTTATTTTTGTGTTTCAAAAATATTTTTGAAAAAAATTAGATTTTTTTTATTTTTTTCTTTGTTTTAAATTAATAAATTTTGATATTTTCAGATTATTTTGACATATTAATATTAAAAATTATTTTTAAAAAATAAAACTATATAATTTTAATATATTTATAAATAAAAAATACTTCCAAAATTAATCATAATCACACTTTAAAACATTAAAACAGGGGGAAACAATTTCTTCATAGGCTTACGCCAGCAGTTTGGTAGCTTATGGATAAATATTTATTAATATTTGATAGTTAGCGGGTTGAAAAGTCATATTACTACGATAGAAACCAAATTAGCCTTAACTATAAACCTGAAAGGTTATTCTAGTCTTTTTGTTCTTTATAACTGAGGATCTTTGAGCTCGAAATCTATAGAGCGGCGGGTCGAATCCTTGAAATTCTGCAAGCGCGAGCGACGTCCTTTGCAATATTTTCTTAATTTGATGGTGACGTGGGATACAAATCTTATTATTGTAAAGCTAAATTATTTTATTATAATATTTATTTAATTAAGAAGATATTCTTAGGATTTATTTGTTTTATTTAAATAGAGAAAACATTTATCAGGATATTCAGTATTATTAAAATTTACGTATAGATGGTAATAAAACGAAACAATTATAAGGCCTGGGCCCTTGAGCATGACTGGCGAATCCGAAACGATATTAGTGAGCTAAATGTAGACAATTAAAGGGTGATCTGATTAGATACAGCGAGTGCTACTCGTTTTATAGGAAGACCACCGACTGACTGTTAATTTTGCATGGTCTCTGCTCTGTACGGGCTATAAGCCGCCGAGAGATCGAGAATTGCATGGTACCCCTACCACTCGGATCAAAATCTAGTTTTAGTTTCAGCAAGAGTGGGCGGAAAGTGCTTGGCTTGCCGTTGCAATGATGAGAGAGCAGGCCACAGAGGTACGTGTGGAATAGTGCGGCTTCCACTGTCCCATCAAAGCTTGGAATATATATCATGTCCATGACACGACAGATCCCGTTGGGCCTTTTGTAGCTGTACCAGATGGTGTTTTCCACGTTATAGTTTCTGTCAAATATCAAGCATCGATCCTTGATGGTCAGAGGGGTGGCTTGTCTCTAATGTTACAACATCGACCATGCATACAGATCAAATAATCAAAATACCAGAATCACCAATTGTTTGGCTGATGAGCAAGATAGGGATTCTCTGTGATCTCCCTCCTTTTTTAAAAAAAAAAATGGTAATCATTTATGTTTGATCAACTTGAATGGATGGAAGCAGATCAATAATTGCATTTAATTAGTTGTTTAATTAAGAAATTATTCTACATGTATAAAAAGATTGTAATCGTATATATATATATACACTCTATGTTTTGTATGTATAGAAAATCTTATCATTGACTTGATTGTTTTAGTTTGAACTTCATATCTATAGAGATATTATTGAACTTAATAATTAAATATATACACAAATTGTTATGTTTTTAGATTCTAATCTTATAAAAAAATCATGATTAATAATAGCTTGAAAATGGTCTCATCATTAAACTATTTTGGAATGGGACTTACTCCCGTGATTTAACCCCAACTTTGTGATTGAATTGAGTAAAACAAGATTTAAAATCTTTGAGTAGTGTTGTCACTCATGTGCAATTGGGTGTTGATTTCCTTTAATTATTTTGGGATACAAAAAATGGTTTCAAATCTATATCTCTACAAAAATAGAAATCCACACTTTGATTTTGGAGAATGCTATGTACAATTTACAATTTCTCCATTTACATTTTCTTAGCTGCTAAGTTTCTCATCTTGTCTGCATTCAAAGTTCTCTATATGATGCCGATTCAGAACCTTCTTTGCCGTTGCTCTAAAAGGACATGCTGAGCTCACAAACCGGTTGATCAAGTGTAAATAAGTGCTCAGTTCATGACACGTGGCAACATTCCTTTTACTGAGGTATGGTGATTCCTTGCTGCTCAGTCTTAGCTCCCGACCCACCTCGGCATATACCCACTGTGTGTCCTCCACGCGCTGCCGCAACCAGCATGGAAGTCCTGCCACACGCACTGCCCGGTTGCTTGCCATGTCATTGTTGTCAATCACAAATCCAGGCACTTTCGTGATGAGATCATCAGAGTTTACTATACGTAATATCCTGGTCCCACTTTTCTCCAGCTGGCACCTAAAGCTTCTATTCCCTACACGTGGCCCACCAAAGGACATTACTGTCACAATTGGAGCATTTTTAAAGGTAGAGTTTATATCATATGCAGTCAAGGTAGCGAGAGCGGCACCGAGGCTGTGACCCGTTATTGTGAAGCTGAGTGGCTCATCACCGTACATTTCCATGACCCTGGCAATTTCCTCCCTCACCATGTCCCGCAAACTCGGACACGTGGCAGTCTGAGAAGTATACAGGCTCAAAAATCCACTCTCCACCATGGGCCCACCACCATCAGGATCCACGTAATCGCAATGTTTCCCAGGTAAGAAAGTTAAGGTGGCGCGTAGATTTTCAACCCACTCCAAGCAAGTAGCAGTGCCTCTGTAAGCAATCACCACGTCCCGGCGGCCTAACCGGGCAATCTCCTCTTTATCTTGACAAACCGCCACATAACCAATCCAGCTGGACTGGGTGGACACCCAACTCGGAGCCCTGTTGATCCAACGTGGCAACTGGAGCCCGCAAGTGGCACGCAAATGCTTTGTCGTTCGATAACCGGTCTCTCCAATTCCAGACCGAGCCAGGAGTGAGTTTCTTGAGAATTTAGAGGTGGCGTAAGTTGATGAAGAAGGATCAAAGTTAAAAGAGCGATATGCAGCTTCAACAAATAACCCATATCGTAAAATCTCACTTCTTAAACGATCATCAAGAGGGTCAAGCAGTCCATCCCAATTATTGACCCCCTGATACTCCATCCATTTCTTGCCAAGCTTTGCTGTTGATCTAGAAATGAAATCCCTGCAATGCACTGATAATTTGTGCTTAAGAGAAGGTAATGATACTTGGGAGTTATATGAGTGAGTAATGTTGAGGTGGGTGAGGTTGAGGTGTTTTGAAGCAGAAGCTAAAGTGTTGGATGATGGTCTTGTTGATACAACAGCAAGCCTCATTGTTAGTTCTGGTTAGTTTTGGAAGGTTGTTATTGTTCTAGATGGAAGAAGGACGATCGTGCTTATCTTCCGTTGGTTTGGGAAGGCTACAAAAGTGGACATTTATAGAAAACCATGGAGAGAGAGAGAGAGGGTGGACGGCGGTGCATGTGTTAGTGAAAAAAAAAAGAGGAGGGGGGGGGGGGGGGGAGGGGAGGGGGTGATAGCTTAGCTTTGATGATATAGATTTGAGAAAGATGGTAGTAGTACTCTATGGTTGCGGGGACGATTAATTGGATCATGATAACCTGAAAAACGGCTGTGGGTCCTGCCAGCAATTTTAGATTTTTAACTATTGCTCATGCGGTCTCATTTATTGGCTTCAAATCTTTTCAAAAACAAAATAGAAATTAATCTTTATCAATTTTTTAAATACTTTTATTGAACTAGTTTTTAGATATGTGTAGTTGCATGTAGATTATTCAAGTTTTGTTAAACATTACTATATTAATGTCTCTGTATTCATAAATTAAATATAATATTCACATCTTAAAGTATTTAAAGTTTATATATATATATATAATTTAATAACAAAATAAAAGTAAAAAAATATGAAACATATATTAAGAAAAGTAAAAAAAACAAAAAAAAACATATTAAAAATATAGAAAACGCACTATATATATATATATATATGTATATGTATATTCTTACCAAGGAGAAAAATAGTGAAAAAAACCAATTATATTGACTTTTGAAGAGTTAAAAAGCTTAATAAAAATAAAACTAGAAGAAAGAGAATAAATCGACAATATCAACTTTAACACACAGGAGCTATAATCCTTTTAATTATGGATAAAAATAGATTGTTTATATTAAATCATTAAGATATTCAAGAAAATTTATTCTTTCCTAGCATCACACTGAACTTCGGTTTTAATACAATCTCTTCGTCATGAGCATGAGGCCACCCTCTAATTTTAATTTATTGATGATGATTGGATATCAAAAAGGGGTTGAATTGAAGAATTGGAGATCTTGATTTGGACCCAACCGAAAAAAAGACAAAGGGTTTTGTCTTTCCGACCAACAAAAGGAAGAGTGCAGGCACGTGCTTTTCCCAGGCCGCGTCACCGCTCCGTTCGACACTCAAACTTCACAGTACCAGTCCTGCTTTTGCCTGCCTTGAATTTGTGTTGTGAAAAGAGTACTGTTTCTACGGCTGCTGAGCGCAGCTTTTATTTTTGGTTGCAAGTATTAAATTGCTTTTTTTTAATTCTGTATTTTAAAATTTGATATATTCAGAAATAATTTTTTTAATGATTAAGACTTAACTAAATATTCATTCAAATAATTCTTTTCTCTAAAATAAAAAATAATAATTTTTGATTAATACCTCTAGATACCCATGAAAAATATTATTTTTAGAGGATATACAGATCTCTAAATTATAAAATCAATAATTTTATAGAAAAAATAATAAATATGCTTAAAAAATTAAATTATAAGAATAAGATTACCTTTATACTGAATATGAATGTGTTTTTGAATGTAAAATCTTGAATTTTTTATCCAAGTAGTTTAAAAAATATTTATAACATATAAATTTTATTTTTTCTTAAGTAAAGGTGTTCAAAAGTTATTTTATTTTATAACATTAACGTGTAATAAAAATTTCTTATATGTACATTAATAAAGAAATATATTCAATACACATATATTAATTAATGAAAAAAATATCTTTTCCATGTGCATTAATAATAAAAAAAATTAAACTTTTTAAAAAAACTAGAGTTCAAGAGTGCCAGGCGCACCCTTAAGGCCTAGCTCGGGTACATAACTCATGCTCACAAGGTGCTAGATACAAGTCCAATAATTAGATCTAGGACTATTATGAACTTATGTTAAAAATAAATATTTTTCTATTAAATATGAAAAAATATCAATAAATATTGATTCATCGGTTTTAATGTGATAATGTTAAAAATAAAAAATAAAAATATTTTTAAATAAAAAATATTTTAAAAAACACATCTTACACCACAATATATAAACTTCCTTATCAATGGCCATGCTTAACTCTTTTATTTATTTATCATATAATATATAATTATGGTATTCTTAGTTTAGGTTTTGTATAATGAAATGAAGTTTATAATTTGTTATTAGATGTCACATATGCAAATGGGTAAATTAAGACCTTGATAAAGGGGTAAATTAAGACTTTGACAATTAGAGAGCTAATATAATATCTTACAGGACTCGAGAAAAAGATCTTATATGAATATGCTCATCTTAACTGGTAAAACATATTTTAGAATCATGTGTAACTGTCAAGAATAAATTTGTGAGGTCCGTGAGTCAAAGCATATAATATCTTACTAGTAAAATAGAGTGTTATAACTAAAATGTAAATTTTATATATTATTTTATTTTATGTTAAACAATAAATATTACTTGGATAATGAATAATCATATAATTACTGGAAATCCAATAAATTTAATATAAATATCTAAATTCCTTACCCCTCAAATAATTAATAAGATATAAATAATAAAACCTACTACAATAAATGATCGCTGCCATCTCTATTCACTGCTCGCATGCTTCACTACTCAATTTGACATGAAAAATCCTCTTCTTATAGTCTTCAATTAAATTTGAAAATAAAGAGACAATAACTTGGGAACAAGATTTTAGAAGTTATATGGGATTTCTTATGACACCCCTAATCAATCAACGCATCCGACCTAACATTCCATATTCCAAAAATGTTTTTTTCTACATGTAACTAATCAACACTGTAGCATAGATCATTAGCTATGACTTCCGAGCGATAATATATGTAATTGTTCTTCTGCTGAGGGGACCGATGCATGTTGGCTGGAATGCTTCTAGTCGCATATGGAAGAATATTTCCTCTTAATAGGAGTGTTATTTTTTATTCCAACATTCCGAGAATTAAAAAAAAAACATTAAATTTGATTTATTTTTTTCAACTTCAAACACACTTAAAAAATGCCTTCAAAAGCTTAATTATTACATCTTAAATAACAAAGATTATATTTTTCAACTAAAAATCATTATTATAAGTAATTTTCACGTCAAGTGAGGAGGAGATTGTGTGATTTCTTTGAAAGAAATGAAGGTGGAAAGGAAAGGAAAAAGAAAACGCTAAAAACTCATCCGATAAGATGGGTGAAGATCCTCTCTTATCAGATCAAACTTTGGACCGCCTAAGTCCACGACTTTACACGTTCTATGATTTGATAAGCATCAATAAATACTTATGTTAAAGAAAGGATAGAAAGATGGATTTATGCGAATAAGCCACCCACCCTTAATTCCTAATCTAGGCTTTTCAAGTGCTTTTATCCGTACCTGGCTGCTGATTTGAAGTTTCAAAGTGTTGTAAGATTGTGTTTTAAAGTATTTTTTATTTTAAAATATATTAAAATAATACTTTTTTATTTTTTAAAATAATTTTTGATATTAATACATTAAAATGATATAAAAATAAAAAAATTATTAATTTAAAAAATAAAAAAATTATTTTTTTTAAAATATTTTCAAAACACTACACCAAACAGTACTAAAATACATTTTTATGTTTGATTAGCAGAGAAGGATAGCTCCTTTTATCGTCCCATTATGAGCTAAAACCTTTTGTTCTACGATTCTATTCTTAATTATTACTAGTTTTATCTCCGAGCTAACTTATAAATCATACTTCTTAAAATTAATTTAAGATTGTACATGAAGATACTAAATTTATAAATTTACTAGATCAATATGAATTAATCTTTATCATTAAAAAGATGTTTGTCAAATTTTTTTATTTAAACACATCTAGTTTTAATTGATTAACAATAAATTAGATTTAGTTTGATTGAACTAACTAACTTGTAATTTAATTTATTAATTATTTAAATTTAAATTTGACTGAGTTAATATTAAAATTTAATTCAAAATAACTCGTCAAACTAGACATAGCGAGTGTAAAAACTATGTAATGAGATATTCATGTATAGAGTTACAGCTATACATATCATATTCTAGTCAAGAAATTGAGTTCCATATCTAATGACTTGTGAAGAAACAATTTATCGTTTTCATGACTCTCAATCATTGTCAATGATTTGACCGTCGACTTGATAGTTTCGTAATATAATTTCTTATTTAATTACCTTAGTCAGTTAATTACAACTTAGTCCCTTAGTTTATTAAAACAAACTAATCGGTCTCCATGGTTTTAAAAATTATACATTTAATCCACGTGCTTAGAATCCATTAATAATTTAATCCTTTTTGACCGTTTCATGTTAGTTTTTATTTAAAAAAAATAAAAAAAGAAAAGGGAAAAAAAGTAGACAACACTTGGATTAGCTCCCCTGTTCACTCTATATTTTATTTAACAGTTTCGAGTTTTTGTTTTCTAGCATTAGCGACTCTATTTGACTACTATTACTGTATTGACTCCACTGTTTACACTTTATGTCGTAGTATTACAGGTAACTGTAATTTCATGTATAGTTATCAAATTCATTCCCAAGGCCAACCAGACCTAAAATACAGGTCATGTTACGTAAAGAATAGGTTAACTTGGATTAATTTAATTTAATATTTTTTAAATTAAAATAAAATTATTTTAATTTTACTTTTATAATCAATTTAATTGTGAATTAATATGAGCAAATCAGATCAATTAATTATAAATTAACTTTTTTCGCATCCACCTTGAAATAAGAGGTGCTAATAAAGTCGGGTTAATTCGATACCAATGTTTTTATGGGGTTACATATAATGGTCGAGTTTCTACTTATGTTAAAGAACAGGCCATACAAATAATTTCATCAATTATGTATGGGAATTCCAAATTAAGCTCTTGAAGTTCAAAATTAATGATCAAATTTTAATAAATGCTGTCCCTCCGAAAAAAAACAATTGACAAAATTCTGTAGCATATGTTCTTTTGCCTGCGTTTTTATTATTAATTAGCATCTTAGCTGAAAAACTCAATTGAAGTTGCAAATGCCAAAACCATGTACATGATATGACTTTGTTTTTGTTAGTTTACTCGGCAATTGATTGTTAACAAATTACTTGATGGATCGATCTTTTATGGCACCACTTGCCAACAGTAGTTGATTGACT